AAGCCCGGGTTTTAATTTCCCGGGGCTTCTTTTGAATGAAGCCGGCCGGCGCCATTTTTAAATGCCAGCTAGTTCGGACTCCAAGCCTAATCCGAACTAGCTAGTCCGTGCCGTGTGTAGCCGCGCGGCACGGGGTCCGAACTAGCCGGCATTTAAAAATGGCGCCGGCCGGCTTCATGCAAATGAAGCCCGGGAAATTCAAATCCCGGGCTTCATTTGCAACTGCGGATGACTACATTACCCCAGCTAGTTCGAACTAGCGGGGTAGTGTAGACATACCCAGGTAGAGCTTGAAGGTCTTTCCCTCCAGTCTTATGGTGTTCAGTACAGAGTCCTTAGAAGATTTGCAGTACTTCTAGGCATTAGTGAAACTGATCCATCTCTCAATACAGCCAAGGCTGAAGGAGCAAGGTTGACCCCCATACTCAGAATGAGCAAGAAGGTTCCAATGGAAGGTAGAGTGCCAATTCCAATAGCAGATACTTAAGTCTGGCTGCCCCGTCCCTTTTCAATCCTGCATCTATCATTAATGTGAGCCTTCTCCAATGACTTAAGGTCAGAATTGGTTGACCACAAAAGAACAACCATACTGGGTCAAACCAAAGGTCCATCTGGTCCAGTATCCTGTCTACTGACAGTGGCCAATGCCAGATGCCCCAGAGGGAGTGAACAGAACAAGGAATCATGAAATGATCCCTGTCATCAATTTCCAGCCTCTGACAAACAGAGGCTAGGGACCCCATTTCTACCCATCCTAGCTAATAGCCATAGATGGACCTAACCTCCATGAATTTATCTAGTTCTTTTTTGAACCCTGTTAAAGTCCTGGTCTTCACAACATCCTCTGGCAAGGAGTTCTACAAGTTGACTGTGTGCTGTGCAAAGAAAAACTTCCTTTTGTTTGTTTTAAACCTGCTGCCTATTAGTTTCATTTGGTGACCCTCTAGTTCTTATGTTATAGGAACAAGTAAATAACTTTTCCTTATTCACTTTTTTCCACAACAGTCATGATTTTATAGACCCCCTTTTATAGACCCATCATATTCCCCCTTAATCTCTTAGATGAAAAGTCCAAGTCTTTTTAATCTCTCTTCAGATGGGACCTGTTCCAAACTCCTAATCATTTTCGTTGCCCTTTTCTGAACCTTTTCTACTGCCAATATGCCACAGGAGTGATAGTAGCTGAAGTCCAGAGAATGAAGCATAACTGTGGTATTAACATCAGGTACCATTGTGTCAAACAATCTTATTTTTCTTTTAAAAGAAAAACATGAGGATAAGCTGAACTACCCAATCTATTCTACAACAAGTTATCTACAAGACATTAAAGATGAGGCTTGCACAAGATCAGGACCTCCTACAACCATCACAGGAAGCAGAAAGGAATTGAGGGAGTTGGAGCAGCACTGTCCTTTATGCTTGTGCGTGAGGCAGCCAAGGGCTCTCATGCAGCCCCAATAGGTTCTTCTAAGGAAAAAAACCTCTCTCAAATGTGATCTGGAGCAAACACACACATGCCCTACAGTAGAAAAGATGTGCAATAACTCAAAGTACATGCATCTTTTCTACCAGAGCAGTCCATATGTACTTTGCATCTGGTATATGATCTCTAAAAATAGCCTCTAGTACAGGCCTGGGCAAAATATGGCTTATGGGCTGGATCTGACCTGCCAAGCCATTAGATCCGGCCTGGGAGAGGCAGCAGGGAGCCGTAGGCAGGCTCCCCTGCTTGCCCTGCAGCCCCACGCACTGTACAGAAATGCGGCTAAACGGTTCCATTTCTGTTTTAAAACTGGAGGGGAGGGGAGAAGTTTTAGGAGCTCCCAGCACATTCCCATTGACCCATTTCTTGCAGAAACTAGCCAATGGGAGATGCTTGTTAGGATAACAGGCAGCTAAGAAGAATCACGCCCCCCCTTCTGAGCTTAGTTATTCATGAAGCACATGGCCAGTAAAGCAGGCAGGCTGGCTGGAAGGAAAACATTTTAAGCTTTGCAGGCAGGCAAGATTGGCAGCTGGCAAGTAAGTCTCTTGGCCACAGCCTGCTTCTGGCACCCCAGCCCTTTCCTACCCTAACTCTGCCCCCCCCCCCAACATACCCATATCCTCTGTCGTCCTCCCTCTTACACCCATACCGCCTCCCAGATCTGGCACCCCAATCTCCTGCCCCAGATCACAATCCCCTCCTAGCCTAGGTCACATCCCAAACCCCCGCATCCCTGCCCTAGGCCACAACCACCTGCTTCATCCCATCTCCCTCCTGCACCCCAGTCCCTTACCCCAAAGCTCCCTTCTGCACCCAACCTCCATTCCAGACCCTGCATCTCCTCCATTAATATCATGGAAGAGTGCGGCCCTCGACCACTTTCCAAATTCTTTGAGTGGCCCCACCATCAAAAATTATTGTCAATCTCTGCTTTAGTAGAAGCTATAAGCAGCCATCAATTGTGCAATGTGGTAAGTTTGAGGGATGCTGACCCTGCTCATGACTTGAAATATGAGAGTTAATTATACTTGTTATAGAAAAAAATACAAATATTTTCAGTCAAATTTATCCAGCTCCTTTTTACATCTAGTTATTGTACCAGAATTATCCCCTTGTCCCTGTACATGAGCATTAAAAGCAGGGATTTAACTGATTTCACTAAACCCTTAATAAACTCATTCTTTATTAACCTTCTATCTAACTCTCTCCTTTTCGTGACTAAACAATTCTAGTGTTTTCCCTGAGATCATAACACAGAATCCAATTAAATGTAAGACTTCTTTTTAACCCTTCTCTGGGCCTTTTCAATTTCTGATACATTTTTCCAATGAGGAAGCAAAGCTAAATGTAGTTCTTCAAATGATGCTTTAACATTTGCCAAATATCACAATAAGCTTTGTACTTTTGTATCCATTAGAATTGATCAAACATTCTTCTTTGCTCTGATATTTCCCCAGTTTGTGGCAGCAATATTCAAACTATTGACCACGTCACTGGCTCCTGTCAACTCCAAATTCAGACTGCTTTCATAATGTATTTATTTGCTCTTTTGTTTCAAACCCCTAATATGCTTAAATTAAAAAGGAGTTTCCACCTTCTACTAGCCAAAAGAACTTAGCGTCATCAACAAGCTGTATCAATAAATCATTCATTAAAGAGGAATTGTCCTTTTCTGCTGCTTTACCAATTTGAAACCCAGGACGAGACTTTGCTTTTCAACCCTTTCTTAAACAGTTCCATATCAGTCTTGTGTCCCTGGTTATTAAAAAGTTTTAAAAGTGGTCTTAATTATTGTTTCCTAGCTTATAATTATCTATTATTGCATAACTTTTTTTAGAACATTAAGAGGTTACAGATACACAGTAGCCTAAATTCACAGTATGTTCTTTGCTTCTGTATTTTTAACATCAAGTATTAATGTTTTTAGTAAACCATAAAAATGACTGATGCACTTTTCAACCCAAAACTTTACCTTCATGTCAGTCTCCCTCGGAATGTGATCCTTAAAGTCTTCAATTGAACTTACGAGGAAAGGAATGTGGTAGGATAAAACCTAACAGACAAACAAATATGCAACTAGAAAATTCTTTCAATAATCTTAGGCACTAATTTATTACTTTTTTTTAATGAGTTATTTTATGTATATCAGATGAAGCATAATACATTCAAAATTGAGCCTAGCATTGACAAAATGGAAAAAGCACTTTTAGACATTACTAAAAATTAAAAACACATGCTGACACTGTCAAAACTGTCCTAACATTGGCAGCAAAATGGTTTTGAATGGTACGCAATCAAATCATATTGCAGAACTTGGAACCTTGGGTTTAGTATGGTTCTGTACAAACCCACTTCATGCACAAAGCATCTTATTTTAAGTTTAATTTTATATAACCCAAGAAATCTGAATATGGAGATATTTAAATACAGTATTAACTCATCTTTTAATTTAACAAAATGCAGAATAAATATAATTATTTCTTACATCTCTAAGTGCTTCCTGTGCCAATGAGCGAAAAGATAAGATTACGCCAATTATGGTCATCCTCTTCAGAACACTATCAACAGCTGAAAGAAAAACAGTGAACAAGACAGCATTTCACAAACGGAGGGTCCTGATCAAGGAGGAGGGGGGTCACAAAACTATTTGTAGAGGGAAGGGGTGGGTCCTTGCTTTCAAGATCTGGGAAGCTGGAGACCAGTGGGCTAGTGCCTGGGTGCCTACCTCTGAAGACTGAGCAGCCATCAGAAGCAGCATAGAAATAAGGATGGCAATTCCTCTAATTTTTTCCATCCATGTGCAAAATAAGTTTTGTTATGTACACCAAGGTATGTGGGGATGTGTACTGCTAGTAGAGACACATGCAGCCTGCTGTGGGCACCCTACTAATCAGCTAGGCGGTGTTTGACTCTTTTATTTGAGTGGCCACCCAAGTCCTTACAGGGAACACTAGTGGCAATACCATAGCATGCCACCCTTACTGCACAGCTGCAGGCAGAAGTGCTGCTTTCAGAGCTGGACGGCTGAAGGGTGGAGGCTGCTGGCTGGGCACCCAGCTCCAAAGACAGTGCTACCACCAGTAGCAACACAGAAGTCAACATGGCATGGTTTAGTTATTTAGCTCTGTCAAGAGCTGCACTTATGCAGTGAAAGCTATGCCAAAATGGGGATGGGATCATCACAAAGAAATATTTACAAAAGGCAGTTCAAGAAAATAACCCTGAACTGGAATATATCCCAAGATTTAGAAAATAAAGCTTTTCAAATGTTTTACCCCAAATGAAAATCAGTAGGAAAATACATGACCAAGTTGAAAGTACGAGACATTCAAATAAAGACATAAATCACAAGAACTAACAACTGTTTTTTGTATGTAGCTGATATTCGTATTTGCTAATAAATATATGTACTGCTGCTGACTACTTCACAACAGTGAGCTTGTTTATACACAGATGTCAATGTCTGGATGCAAAGACTCTTCTCTGCACAGTCTAAAATGTCTCAGTTTAATACTTACCTTTATACCCCCTCACTTTCTAAAGGATGCAGCAATATACCACAACAGAATCAAAACTCTTTTCAAGTTCTGCTCTGCATGCATGTACTTCTATATGCATATACTATGAAGAATTATAGTTATGGCTAATAAATGTGACAGCTGGATGACAAGATCCATTTTATCTTCTCTGTATGATGGCCTCCAAACGCTTATGCACTAACTTACACTGAAATCTCTTTTTGTTTACAAATCAAGCTGGATAAAATTTAAAATTTAATCAGTTCACATACATTATGACTAAATTCTAGTGAATGAAATGTACATTTTAACATTCACATACAGAGGATCATTTTCACAATGCTAGTTCATTTATGCAGACAAGTGCAAGGACCAAAAACATTTTAAATAAAAACAAAAACACACACACCAAAATTACTAGTTACCCACATGATAATCTTTTAAAGAGTGCTGCCATCTGGTCTGGTTTGTCAAAACTGGTCCTCATTTGTGTTAGCACTTCAACATTTTCCACCACAAGTTTCTAAAGAGAAGAAAGACCTCAGGTCAGCTGTAGATCTCAGTATGTTAAAAAGATAGGTGCATGCTTTAGGACATTTCAATCTGGCAAGCAGGAAATCAAGCTCATGGAATCCAGATTTTCCCTCTATCTTTCTTCTGAAGGAACTATAGGATTAGTCTGGTAAATCCTGTGTACACCAGAGTTATGAATGACAAAGAGAGGAAAAGCTGCTAATGGGAATGCAGTTTGCACATTCTTCTGAAATTATAATCACAGAATGAGTTTAATGAGTTTAGAATAAAATTTCACCAAATATACATTTTATAAAGATGCTGTACTAATTTTATTTCACTCCAATAATATTCTAATCATTCACATTCTCAATAGCTTTTTTATTACAGTGACCCACTCCCTTGATCTTTCCACTAGATGTTTGCTGTTGTGATTTTCGGACTGCAGTCAATTTAGGTAGCTTCCTTAATTGGAAAGCAGGGTTTCTCAGAAATGTTGATACCGTCACATTTTAATGTGAAACAAAAGGGGTTTTTAAAAATATAAATATGGCCCTCATAAATTATTCAAACATTAAATATCAGTGCAGCTTTCCCAAGATTATTTTCTTTGACTCCCATCACAACAGAGTATTAAAGAAAAGGAAATATGAGATTATTTAAATCCATGCAATTTAGTCTCAAGCAGTAAGTCAACTTGAAAAGAAAGCCAGAATTCTTTTGACGGTCAAACAGAATTTGGCTGAAACAATATATAAATGCAAGGGTTTATCTTTGATCCTTAAATAAATACATGTGAGCTAGAGATCTTTGTAGCAAGTATGCAAGTATAATAATTATTCTCCAAATGTATAAATTATATGGGATTTGAAAGACTGTGAAGCGGCATAACCACAGCTATAAAGTTGAACTTGTGGCATTCAACAAGACACTTTTGTACCACCTAGTGAGGCATCGGTTACCTCAAATGCTCTAACCACAAGCAAGAAGAGGTTATTTTACTCTTATAAAAATGGAAGCTGCAATGAATGAATGATGATTCGTTCAGCTGTTTATCTTCAGAGACATAATTACTATCTTACATGTTAATTGAGTTTCTTATGGAGAAGTCTACCTTCATGTAGCTCTGCACACAATTAAGTGGAGGAAAGATTATGCCCACTTCTTTCTAGACACCACTTTAACTCTTAAGAGTCTAGTGCTTTTTGTCCCCGAAAGAACTACCAAAGTTGCAACACACAAGAAAGATAGAAAAAGAAAACAGGAGCATAGAGGAAGGGACGCTCCGGGTTGGAAGATTGGAACAGCCTCAGAATTAGGGATGTTAGCTACTAGTCGACTATCTGATAAGCAAATGCTTATCGAATACTTGAGTAGTGACTCAACTATTCGCTTGCTCCCCTCCTTGCTGCCTCTATCAGATAGGGGACACTGCTGTCGGATTAATTGTATCAACTATACGATTAGCCAGATAATTGCATTTTAACATCTTTACTCAGAATAGCTATCAGCTACACCAGGCATTTCGAGGGACCTAATATACCAGTTCAAGGTTGTGAAGGGAGAGTCTGAGATGGAGCCCAAAATGGCTTCTTAGGTAGGCAACAAGCAGTAGCCACTTCACTTCTTCCAGATAGGAACTTACTAATGGGCAGTGAGATGGGCAACGTGCAACTGCAATGACTCCAATGGCCTGAGCAAGCATGGGATACCTTAGCCTCCTATGCAAGCGCTGCATCATGAAGAGAGGAGAAAGAGAAGAGGAAGGAAAGAAGTAAAGAAATAGTATATGCATTATTAAGTTTTCTATTATTAGCTGTGTTGCTAAAGGCAAGTGGAAGGAGGGGAGCAAAGGAAACTCACTGAGCATCACCCTACCTGCTTCTAGCTGAGATGTCTCCAGACATCTCCACTACTCCTAGCTCCATCAAAGCTGCACTTTGTTTAATGAGATGAGCATTTATTCTTTAATTTTGCCACCAAACAGGATACTATTATGAAAGCTGAGGAAAACATATTATGTGCCCTGAGAAACCCTATCCTTAGTAGTCTCAGAAAACCTCTCAAAACCATCAGAATTCAACCATTTTAAAAACTGCTTTGATGGCTGTATGAACATATTTTACTATGGATGGCCAGGAGAGTTTTGAGAAATTGTTAACAAGATGTTACCCACTTGGAAAATGTTACCATTCATGATTCAAGAGACGACTGGCTCACGTAATGAGAATGCTGTGTCATTCCTACAAAAACCCTGGAAAGAACTGCTTGCCCCGGAAAGACTTAGTGTAAAGGTCAAGGATTTGAATGGCCATTAGGAATTAAGTACCCACTCCTAATTTCAAGTAGGTCCCTTCTGATCAGGGTTGATGCACACTATTTAGGGAAATGGCAAAGGTGGCAAACTTTCAGTTTATTTTATAAGGATCTCATACTCTCTGGCAATTCAGTATCACCAACATTCACAATAATGAAGGAAAACAGAGGAAAGAGACAGACAGAGAGAACACACGCTTTAAAAGAATTATGCTATTCTAAAAGGATTTTTTTTCCAGAACAAATCTGATTGGAAATCAAATTTTCAGAAAGCTTAAGCTATTTGTTTTTAAAAACAGTAAGCCAGCATCTATCATGCAGTATGTTCCAAGTACATGGAAACACACCACTAAATGCAATAAAAAACTACACATATGTAAAAGGACTACATATGGCTACTTAATTGCTAATAACTCCATCAATTACAATATTACAGGGGTTAATCACATGAACAGCATAACTATTATAGTCCATGGTCTACTGACAAACAGGCTATCTGGCAAAAATATCAGCATAGTATTAGATACTTAAGAATGTTCACCTAGAAATAGTTACTATAAATACATATTAAATGTACTTTTTCACTATCAGTGTTAATTTATGTGAATTTGATTGCATATGCAAGAAACTTCCCATGCATACCCATTTATAGTGTTAATTTCCATTCAACTTTTGCAGAGAACCACAGTAGATTTATTGCCTATCGGCAGCAGCTGCCGTGTGCACTTTAGTGGGTGCAGTCCTCTTTCTCCTCTTCACTTTGCAAGGGGGCAGGAGTACCAACCACCCACAGCAGCACCTCTGCCCGGGCACTGCAATCCTAACATCAGTTTTGAAAGGGAGGACCAGAAGAGGGAGGAAGGGCTGGAGAGCAAGCCCACCATGCATTCACTTCTGCAATAGTAGCTTCTGTCCCATGGGGTTGGACCTGGCTTCATGCTCTGGGCAATAAGAAGGTATACAGGGTTTCAGTGCCATGCCAAACCTGAGTAGCAGTCTGCGTGCCAGATCACAGTGCCCGGAGTCATGAGCTGGTCCAGACCCATAGGACAGGTTCTGCTACTGCAGAGTTTCTACGGGTGCAACTATTTCCATGCACCCTGGCTAGGCTCTGCTCTGTATAATGAAAAGGTAATAGTAGCTGTAATTTTTTAGAACATGCTCTCAAAATTGTACACTGTACTACTAGTCTTAACAGTCAGTTGGAAAGCACTGCAATAACGCAGTACCACAGCACGCAGACTATTCAAATCCTTGAGTACAGCTTGCATTTTAGAAGGTATTTCAGCAACCTGAACAAAGCTTAGGGTCTATTTCAAAGGAAAATCATTAAAACGGGAATGGATACTTTTGTCAAAAAATTAGAGAGCTGAAAATAACAAAACAGAAAATAAAGTGTACTTGAAATTAAGAGCAAAGTGAGCAAGATAAGCTAATATAGTAGCAGGTTCTTAATGTTAATTTAAAGGAAAAGGTTTTTAAAAATGTGTTTTGGACATAGTCCAACCATTGAGAGAATATGATACAGAGATGTGTTCAGTGTACTGTGCATTCACAGATGACTGATATGAATGAGAAAAAATAGTCATCTGTTTTCAGTTGTGGTGGTATATGGTAATACTCAGCAAGTAACATGAAAAGCATCACTCTTGGGCACTATAAATAAAATGTGCATAGGGAAAAATATCAAAATATAATTACCTTAAGTTCAGCAACCTGTGAGGAAATGTGCCACATAAGACTTTCACTTAGGAACTTCATGCCATATGGTCCTAGTAGTTCTGAGAGGGCCCTCATTTCTAAGGAAGAAAAAAACAATTTTATTTAAGCCAACATTTATTTTGCAGTGATTTAATGACATAATACATTGAGCAATACCACTCTATCAGAGCAATCTCAAAACTGGATACAGAATAAAGCTTAAGTTATAACAACACAGGAGAAGTAAGTTCACTTCCTGCATTTACTTACAACAAATCACATGTATATAGCCAGTAACTGTTTCAGTAAGAATAGAAAAAAATTATATTCTTTTCCCCCGGGTTACAATACAAAAACAGCAAGGAGAGAAAACATGGAAACGATAAAATTCTTTTGTACAATGGAGGATTTCTTTAAAAACCATATTGGTATTCCACAATCTCTCTAAAACTTAGTCTTGAGCACATGAATAAAACCAGCCCTCACAAGGAGTATTTTGAGCCATGTCACAAAAAGCTTACCTGATATGTCAGAGTATTCTTCAGCATTAAATGTCAACTCATTTTCTGTGGGTAAGTTCACAAATGCCTTCATTGCTGGGAAATATGCTATATGCCCATTGCTGACTTGCCTTAGCAAGGTTTCTAAATACCTTAGGATAAGAAAAAAAAATGTAAAAATGATAGTTCAATGAGAATGATGCCATAGTACTCTTAACATTAAAAAAGTTGCATTGTTCTTTAAGAATAAAATTCATTCTTTATGCAGAAGGACGTCGAACAAGGCTTACACATCACGTAAGTCCCACTTCAAAGGCTTACCTATGCATAGACCTTGTCTTGCCCGCTGCAACCAGAAGAATTTCATGTTCAGTGAGTTTTAGACTGCTTTTTAACAGCTATTGTTGGAGAAAGAGTAAATCTATCTTGTTTCAAATTTGCAAGTGTTCAGACCATAAACAATTCCAATATCCTGATGCAAGCTATGCAGTTTAATTAGATTTTTAAGTGTATTTAAACGCAAAAAAAGAGAGCTCATAATAGATGTTAAGTTCCTACCAATTTGTGTATAAACTGGTAATAGTTGGCTCCCCATGACTATCCAAATGCTGGGTTTGCTGAAGAAGAACATTGTTAAATACTCTTGTGATGTCAATCTGCACATAATTTTCTATTGATTGGAGTACTGTCATGTAGGCTCTGACACTTGTTAACAGCTCTGAAGGTTTTGCAATCTCTTGTGTCGCTTGATTATACATAGTCATTCCAACGATTGACCTTTTAAAAAGAAAAAAGTGTTACCTTTGTATTTTAATGAAATTAAGAAATAGTTAGTTCTTCCTGCCCGTATAAAGGATTGTGTAGTCAAACTTTTAGTTGAATATCTCAATGATATTTAAGACATAATAGCACATTTAAAAAAGAGAAATCAGCAAAAATGCTGAATTCATAACACACATTCTTGATAACATTTTACGGGAATTCTTAAAACAAACACTTACTGAACATACTCAGGGAACCTACTATGAAGACACTTAGGGAACCATAGGCCCAAAACAAATCTGATTGGTCAAGAAAACACTTTAAATAGCTTCTGAAATACATTTGCATGAGAGAAACTAATTATGTATCATGTAAACACATACTTATGTTTAGGAATGTCCTTCAAGACAAACTCTTTGTACTCTGTTACAATTTAGGTCCATATTTTTTCCTCCCTCGCCCTCCCCCCCCCCCCCACCACACATGTATAGGGAGAGGGGGAGGGGAAGAGAGGAAAAAATATGGACCTAAATTGTATATAAAAGGAGTATACAATGAATTTTGTCATTAAAATAAGCACAAAAGGAAATTACAATAACAACAAAATTCAAAGTAAAAGAATTAACTCATGCTGGAACCTCAGTTTAGTTTGTGATGTAATGTATACACACTACACAAAAAAGGCAACCTAGCATTTAATTTCCTGAATCAAAACAATGTACAGTAGACTTCCAATAATCTGGAACCTAGATGGTGCTGGATCTCACACACACACACACACACACACACACACACACACACACACACACACACACACACACACACACACACACACATTAACCCTTTTAATAGTAGCACAAGTACTGTCCAGCATCTCACAATGCCAGCGGCAGACTGACTCGGTCCCATCCAGTTTCGCTTGTTTCAGCTGCTGACGTGGCTGTCCTGTGACTTGATTTTTGCCGAAGCTCACTCACTAAACTCTTGCCATTTTATGCGGGACTATTGGGAATACGATACAACTTGATGCCAGACTATTGGAGTTTTACTGTATTATGTTACAAATGTAGTCCTAATAAATAATCAAATCCATTCTGCGCAAGTGTAGGATTATTTTCAAGACTAGAGCATATCTATAATTAGTTTGCCAAATCTAATTTTCATGATTTCATTTAATGGGTCTTCTACCACTTCTCTTAGAAAACTATTACTACATCTCACTTTTAAGAAGTTTTCTGATATTCAGTTTTAAAAAGGGATTAAAAGATCCCAGTTCTACATAAGGAAGTGTCAGCCTACCATGTCCTCTTCAACTGTATTAGCATTCACTATTTTAGTTCTAAACATCCGTCAGTGGACTTTCCATATGCATTTCTTGTTTATACGAATTTAGCCACAATAGTAATTTTTAATTCCTACTAAAAGCACTGAAAAATACATGACACTTAAATAGTGTTTTCTATTCATGGAACTTAAGAGTTCTTTATATAAGCCAAGTAATCACTATTAAGGGCATAACTGTTTTGGATTCTGAGATTTTTCCAGACCTCTGTGACTTCTTCTGGGGCAGGTCTGGTGCAGCTAGCTAGGACAGGCCTGGTACAGAAGCACAGGGGGAGAGGAAGAAGGCGGGATGGGGGAGGAGAGGGTGTAGGGTCACTATAACTGCTGACTGTAAATTCACAGGCTTTTGTCAATTTTGGTTTATTGCCTGCAACCTGACCATGATTTTTACTAAAAATAAACTTGTGTCAGAATCTTAACTTTAATCATGATCCCTAATAGACAGGGATCCCTAATAGACTGCGGTAAAACTTGATTCACCCAAATTCCCAAAATCACCCAATGATACTAAGCATGAACTGTGTATCACACTGACTCATACTCCCATACTTCACCCTCTAGAGCACAGCTTCCCACTTACACCTTGATCCAGAAAGATGCTGAGTGTTCTCCATTCCCACTGACTTTAATGGGCATAACCCATCAAGTATGCTCAGGACCTCAAAGGACTAGGCTTTTATACAGTAAATAGAGTCAGAGAGCTCTAATTACTGTATAAAACTACAGAGGAAGTGTTACATGACAGAATAAAGCTGCCATAGCAATATAAGCAAAAGTTCAAATACAAAAAGATATATACGAGCTTAAAGTAGTAAATCCTAACATGTTTATATAGGATAGGAAATCAATCCTTTAAATTCAAATACTCTGAAGGCCTTTACAAGAAATACCACTGAAAATCAGAAAGAGAAAAAATTAAGACACTGCAGTCTTCTAATAGCAAATCCTATTTCTAGCTTGGGGCTGCCATGCTCAAAACCACCAGTGAGCATTTTTGTGGATTTGCTACCCACCCACAAGGCAATAAAATAAAATTACACAGAGCACTATCGTGGTTTAGGGTCTGAAACCCAAGACTTCATGAAAAGTCAACAGTTTTTACCCTTTATATGCCGTCAGCTCTTCCCAGTGTATCAAGAGAACATTCTAGACAAGAATATCCTCAGGCCATGTCCTGACCTCTAGAAACCCCCTAAAACCTTATGTCAAATACAGAACATACAGTTAGTTTACCAAAGCTGACAACCTGCTTGATAAATAGGGATAGCTTTTACAATGAGAAATTCTCACCAGAATTTGAAATGTACCTTTTGCTACACTCATTTCCTGCAGAAAAAAACCAAGCCAAGAACCTACCTATTAGTGCATCAAGCATCCACTACACCAGCCCATGCCACTTTTAAAAATAATAATAATAATAATAATAATAATATAAAAAAGATGTTCGAAAGTTTCCTCCTGGATTCCTTGCCAAGTCTTGAGTTCATATTTCTAAGTCCCCCCCTCCAAACACTGGTAAAAATCAAACATTGAAAACAAGGTTCAGCATTGCAGGGATGTGGCAGCGTGAAGAGAATCTCTGTATTATTCGGATATATACTTATGGGATCCTATAAAGAATATGGAAGTAGGATCTCAGGATCTAGGAGGTAAGCAGAGGATATTTATTTAAAAATTTTCTTTCAATTGCCAACATTTTGTATGCCTGTGTATGTATTCTAATTGATTTGGATCTTAGTTATAAGAATTTGCTATTTGAGAGAGTTATAGCTCACTTTCGGGGTAGTCTTGTGAAACAGATACACAGTATTTATAATGTGAGAATAAAAATTATTTATTTTCTTTGACTAAGTAAAAACCAATTTTGCCATCTCTTACTTGGTAAAGCGGATTTCCAGGTGAGATGTTAAGTACTCCCTTGGGGTAAATGTATGTTCCCAGACAATCATGTTTGGTACGTAATTGATTGAGAAGCAGAGCTCGGAAAGTGCAGTGTGCAGTTTGTCTAAGCTTTAAAAAAATGGACACACAAATTACATAAGAAATTATAAAAACATTTCAAAGAAACACAAGCTGACATTATTATTGGGGAGTGTTGCTGACCGTTTTTATTTAAGTAAGGTCAACTAGCTCCACCCTTTGAAAACAAGTTAGAGTGCAGTGACTGTATGAGACAGCTTTTCATACCTAGTTACTTTAAAATTAGATTTCAAGACAAAGGAAAGATACAGGCACAGGAAGCTACTACTGTGTGTTGCTCTATACCATGCAGATGAGAAAGATTTTGCACAGTTTACCAAAGTGAGCAATTTCTTTAGGGGGGTTTCTTAACTTATATTTTGTAACTCAAAAATCTCTTCACGAGACTAAATGTCATAACCACTAAAAGTTGTTAAAACTCTTAAGATTAAAGCTAAGTTCATAACCTTAAAGTAAGCCTTCTCCTTTCACCCCTCCACTCATGCCCCAGTGTTATGACTGTAGCAGCAAACTTTCTTTCACAAAGTGCTCATCCATACTCAGCACTTCAAACTATAATGGTAAGCACCATTACTTCCTTTCCCCTCATCCTGGCATTTTTGTCCCTTTCACCATGCACACACTTCTCCTGCTGTGTGGTTCTTATCTCATTGTTTTTCTCTCCTGTTATTCACAAACTCCCAAATCACCTTGTTTTTAATCTTCCAACTCAGTCTCATCTTTCAAATTTCAAATTCTGGAAGGGAAATAGTTTGCAACTCCTCATCGCAGCTGCTATTCAGAGAAGCTTCCCTGACAGGTGGAAGGAGACCACCTTGTTAGGTGTCTCAGCTCACTTTATGTAGCTCTTCAGCAAATCAGGACATTAAATGGTAGTTTGGTGGCAACATACAACTGACATTACTCTCCTGCCCAGCCAAAATTAAGAGTAGGGCAGAACTGTTAGGTGAAATACTGTTGCCTGGGAGAGAGAATGTTGAAGGAGCACGTTAAAGGATTCGTAAGTGTAAGCCCCATCTCTTCCACACAGCTAATGGGGTTGGAGAGAGAGAGAAAGACAAATATATGCCTATACATTTACTCAAGAGACTATTCAAAAAATCCATTATAAATGGTTCTAAAATTAACCATGTAAATCAACACAAAACTATCAATATTTACACAAAAGGATTGGTGACAACATAGGAGGAAGAAGAAGAAATAGCAAGAGAAGGTGCTTACTTCGTCACCACCAGTCTGTTTTTCCTCATGCTTTCTACTCCTGGTTTCTCCCTCTCTGGTTCCCCTTTCTTTCCGGTCTGTTTTTTTGACTTTTTGTTCACTGCTTGACTGATTGTTTTGGCACAATGCTTTGGCAGCAACTAAAAAAGGATGCAAAAAAAAAAGTAGATGCTATTAGAATAAAAATAAAGTTATGGTTCAGGTGGAGTTTTCATCACAAAGAAGTGCACTCTTGATATGTTGTTTAGTTGAGTATACAATTCTCCATCCCATCCTCATTCATTTTTAAGATATGCTCAAAAGGAAAACTGATTAATTGGGAGTATAGCTATGAATATGATCTTAGAGTAGCTGAGCACTTGAGAAATAAATTGAAGAGAATAGTGGGCAAATAACTCGTTTTCATCCTTGTTTTCGGAGGAAAAAAATTAAAAATTCAGATTGTGTCAAACAAAATGAGAAAAAAAACCAATGGATCAGAATGTCAATAAAATACTTTCTGTTTAATAAAATATTATGTTTGACCTGGGCTAGGCTGACAAAATAGCCAAGGGAAGAAATCCAAGGTTCCACCTCTCTGATAATCTATATATCCATTCTTAGCACCCTCACTGTAAGAATAGTGACCTAATTCAATATTTAAGAATAATCATAGTTTAATATTTATTTTAAATCCAACAGTTACAGAACATATGGAATTGAACTACAAGCTACTCACAACTCTCAAATGAATAAAATCTATTTATAACAAAAAAATAATTCTCACCTGATCACTCAGCGTACACTGTTCTGTGCAAATATCTGTGATAAGATTTCGAGCTTGCTTAGCCATTTCATCCAAAAACATGTTACACAAGGAAAGACTGCGATCTCCAATATGATGTCGCTATCAAAAAAGAAAAAAATAGAAAAAAATAAGGTTTCCTAATTTCTGCCAACCCTACAATACACCTGCAACAAATCTATATACTGTAGATAGTGCAATTAGGACTAAACTCTTGGTCTTTTATCTCCAAAAATGGAGCTTCCATCACTTGAGCGAAGGGAGATATTCTCTAGCTGCACCAGTAGCAGTAACATGACCCATATATTCTTTATCAGCTAGCCACTGGAGGGCAGTGACTCCCATGTAAGTATCTCCTATGCATGCATGTATATATCAGAGAGTCAGTATATTACAGAGGTTGAATATTACAATAAAAACAATCTAAAAACATTCCACATTTTCAAAGGACATGGAATAACAGAGACTGATGGACTTCCTGGAATTATCATGTCTCTTCCATTTTGCTATTTTTTATTCCTATCTGACTGAAAAGAGGTTTTTGAGGTTTTTGTTTATTTTACGCATTTTGAGTCTTGTGCAAATCACCAGAATAATTACTGACTGGTGGGAAATAACCCATCTCTAGTCTGTTAGAGCTGAAAAATAAACCAGGAGTAGCTGACATAAGATGCACCGAAAGAAAAAAAAAAAGTGTGACAAACTTTACTCTGATACTGCCTATGATAAATTATCTCCCTGAATTATCAATGCTATTGAAGCCAGGAGAAAAGGTGAAACCATCACCAGGTGGATTTGAACCTTGAACCTCTGAAGCTTAGTGTAGGAGCCTCTACAGCTTGAACTATAAAGTCAGTTGGCACTCAACTCAGGCTGTAAAGCTCCCTTGCTCTTTTCTCTTGCTGGAAGTGGTCTAAGTGCTACTACATGGGACAGTGAACCATACTAGGCATGTGGGTTACAAAAGCACCCAATTAAATACTCTGTTTAAAATATAGCCATAGGTTATAGCGGCCTAGGTCACACATCGTTACAAATACCAGCAATAACACACCTCTGGAGTAGGTCAACTGGTGGCTAGGGAGCATTATAAAATGCATTTAAACAAAGTGTTTAATCCCCAATGTGTGTTAAAAACAGATGAAATTCCCACACAGGCAGTGACAGATCCAAAACTTATCTGATATATCATTTGTTAACTGCTTAAAGTTACTATCAAAATTAAAGCATGTGGAAACGTGTGAGATCCACTGATATTTCTTCAGTTACATATACCACTCAATAGCTATTTTAAACAATGCCAGAGCGCTATGGACTAATAGCGTTCTGAATGCCAGTGGAGCTGTGGTTTTTTTTTTGTCAAAATTCCCAAAGCGCAGAGTAAGCTTTAATTTAAATGCTCCTAACACCTTCTTCATACCTTAAAGCAGCACATATGCTCCCTCCTCCTACCTTTTGCAGATTGCTACAGTCTAGTCAATGACATCAGAAGCTCTTCTGATTGACACAGATTGGCCGGATATCCTTGGAAAAATCACTCACTGCTTCTCATTTGTAATATGCAGATAATAAAACTGAACTATGTGGTAGTGCTGTTCAGAGGCCTCACTAAATAATATTTGTAACATTAACGGTACCAGCCAGAAGAAGAGCGGAACTCAGGTCTTGTGGGCCTGGATGTGTTACTTTTGGTCATGTGACCTGTTGGGATGTTAGGGAAGTAAGGAACGAAGCACCACCACTCACAGCATTTGTTACGCCTAATGAACTTTTACAGTCCTTACAAGTTTGGAGTTCAGCGATGTCATAGTGGCTCAAATATTTGAAACAGCTGCACATTAAAGCAGAATGATTAATCTACTGTGTTTATACATCCCAAACACACATTTTAAACTACAGATAAAAAAAACCCTTACTGCATATCTGAAAAAACTTAAAATATTCACAACTTTTAGACTAATGAATTCAGTTCACACCTCTCCCTTGAGCCCCCACCACAATAGATACACAGCTGGTTTTAGCACTGTAGAGCAACTTTAAGTCTGTAGACCCAGACTCTCAAACTCATTGCCATGGGATTCTGCTTGTGTAGTTGTATGCTTAGTTTCACTCATGCCACTGAACAGATCCACCATGCAGTTCTGCTGTACACTGCTTATAGGAATTCAGCATATTTTACTTTTGCTCAGCATAGCTACACCATTATGCTTCAATGAAAAACCTTCTTTCACTAGTAATGTTTACTTTGTAACACAGTACCATTCATTATACCGTATAATAGATTAATTTTTCAAACTGGTAATTGTGACAAAATTGTACAATTCCTGTACTAAATTCAAGCTATTTGTTAGCCTGTAGCAACATTTTCTGGCTATAGCTAAAATTACAGTAACTACTGTAGAGTAGAGGAGACAGCTACTGAATCTCTTTACCGTTACTATAAATTGTTCTGAAAGACATTTCTTGTCTTGAATGGAAATTTTCCTGGAAACTTTTTTGTGGGCTTTCCAATGTAAATAAAGTTTGCAGCTGTTTAAAGCTGAGAGGAGAGAAGAAAGAATGGCTTGCACATTTCAATAAACCTCTTAATACATTCAGGTGTTTTCAAATTAGACCTGATCAGTGCTAAGGAATCCTTCTCTTGACACCAAAAAAGGGGAAGATTCATCCCTCATTTAATTCCAAAGTCATTTAAATTATATTGAGTGTACTGAAGGATATATTTCATTATACCATGAAAAAAGAGAATTCTGTGAGAATCATCCTTGTTTTAACAAAGGTTCAGTTTATGTAAGCAGCATTATTCACTTTCTTTTCTTTATAATTCTATCCAAATGTAGATCAAAGTGTAATTAATGCTTGCACAATACTATAGTTCAGAGCCAGTGACTTATAAGTACTTTTCAGATGAACTGTTATAATTGTAAGACACAGAGAGATATCAGCTTATTTCCTTTTACATTATATAGACGTAAGTTCTTAAATACTTACAAACCACTTACAAGAACAGTTTTTGCATCTGAAATGGACATATGACTGCAATTAACATCTATAACCAGACAAAAATGATATACCATGCAGGGAACAGATTAACCTACTCACTTGCCCATTCTAGTCTCTACAAATAGCAACAAAATATTGTTAAATGAATCCGTAACTTTGAATTTTTTTGCCAAAACTGAAGAGAATTTCGCACAAGCTGATAGGGCACTGAATTAGTAGTTGAGAGATCTGTGTATTACTCTAAAGTACAGGCAGTCCCCGGGTTACATACAAGATAGGGACTGTAGGTTTGTTCTTAAGTTGAATTTGTATGTAAGTCGGAACTGGTACATATTGTAGGGGAAACTCTAGCCAAACATTTCTCCAGAGCTCAGTTTTATTCTCCCACACCTCACTTCCCTCAGTCCTTTATTCTCAAGCTGAGGTGTCTGCTGAGAAAAGCCACTCCGCGTCTCCCTGGTCTGCTGGGGAGGGGGGCGCTAGCTTCACGTCTCCCTAGTCTGCTGGGGGGAAGCAGCTAGTGCGGGGTTGCCTCATCCCGTTTGTAAGTAGGGATCCAATGTAAGTCGGATCCATGTAACCCGGGGACTGCCTGTATACCATTAACCCACTCAGCAACTTGAGGAAAGTCATTTAACTCCTGTGCCTTTGATTTTGTAAAGTCAAAAGTGCATGTCCCAACTGTGTGCAAGAATTCGATGTAGTTTGAAGTAGCATGTCCCCAGTAGGGTGGTTACCATCAACTTTGAGAGCGAATCACTGTGGGTAGCTATCCCACAGTGCCTGCACCCCTTTGCATTCTGGGTTATGCTCCCAGTACATGCTGGGACCAAAACTGTACAGCAGGTGGTTCTGAATACGTCATCAGTATCCCATAATGGACTTGTTTCCTCCCTCACCCTCTGAGAACAGTCATTTCACACCCTTTTTTCCCTTGGTTATCTGTGCAGACGCCATAGCAGCATAAGCATGGAACCCACTGCAGATCCCGTTGAGCAAAGCAGTAGGATAATGATATTAACCATGGTGTGCGAAATGCTGAAGTATGTCCAGAGTATGCTGGAATGAGGATGAATCTTGGGAGGCTATGAACATACTCTTCTGCGAAACACTTGAGTTGAGCAACTGGCAAATACTGTTGGCATTCGAGTTTTTGGACACAGTGGAATGCTAGTGCTGGTGTCATGAGACAAGCAGAGACTTGTGGGACCTCACTGTGATGCAGGTATGGGATGATCAGCCATGGCTGCAAAACTTCCGTAGGCATGGAAACTTCCACTTTCATGGAAGTATGAGAATTGCTTTCACTCACCCTGAAGCACAAGAATACCAGAATGAGACCCACTCTAACAATGGAGAAATGTGTGGCAATTGCCCTGTGGAAGCTTACAGTGCCAGACAGCTGCCAGTCAGTTGGGAATCAAAAGGGAGTGGGGAATCTACAATGAGCGCTGTTGTGATCCAAGTAGCCAAAGCTACTAATAAACTTCTGCTACAGAGGACAGTGATTCTGGTAAACTGATTATATTAGACCTTATCGAATGCAATATTCCCATTGTGGTCATAGCCTGTAGCATACTCCATCATATTTATGAGAGTATGAGGGAAATGGATCTCTCAGGGAGGGGGGCCAAAGCAGGGCACCTAGCCACTGCACTTGAGCAGGTCAATAAGGAAAGCACAGCAAGAGGCAGTGCAGACCCGACAGGCTTTGAAACACAATTTTATGAATGGCCAGTTTGGAGAGTCATGTATGTTACTCTCAGTGAGGTATCCCTGCATTCAGAGTGCTTGCCTGTGAACCCCTCCCCCCTTCAACACAAGCAATAGACCATTGCTCAGTAATCATGCATTTTTATTTAGGGAATACAGAAAGGGCAGAAAAGGACTCCAAGGCGGGTGCTTTGGAGGAGGTGCATGATAATAATTGTGAGGACAGTCTTTTGCTTCGTGATGCATCCATGGGAGGTGCATATGAGGCTGCCTTTTGGCTCCCTTCCCACCCATAGGGGCTCACACAATGACTGTGTGTTCGGCACCTCTCATTTGCTGGGAGAGTGCAACTTCACTTCCCACATGAACTGGTGGCCAGGAGGAGGTAAGGGGTCCTGGCGTGGTGGGAGGGCAGGGGCTCAAGCCATGCTTCATTGGGGATGAACAAATAGAGATTTAGTGCAGAGGTGTCAGCTAAAAGCTTCCTCTGATTTATCCAGGTTGCCATGCACAATATCAGTCTTCTCTGAATCACACAGAGATGCTGACTGAATGTAGCCAGAAACCTGCACCTTATGCTGCAATGTTTTGTGCTCCAATAATGCCAGACCACTCACTGGTGACTTAGCGTGGAAAGGTGTCCTACTATGGAGGATGGAATAAGGCAGGCTTTCCCAGAAAATCTGAGAAGGATGAAATAATTCCTCTATGAGAGCTTTATGGAGATACGCAGAGAAGATTCCCGCTTCATCTCCAGACATCTTAAGCTGTTCTGAGGACACCTCTTCACCCTGCTCTGTAGGCAGAGTGCCCCTTCCCCCCAAGAGAACATCCAATTGTCTTAACCCATTTGTAGCATGATGATAAACATGAACTCACAAGAAGTGCCCTTCCCAGGATCAGTGCCTGACTGAGATATCCAGAGAGGAAGGGATTGGCACCCAAGCTTATAAACAGGTCCTGGCTGTCAGTGACATCAGTTGCTCTGCTCACCTGCTGACCATTCTCCTCCTCCTCCTCCACACGGTCTTCCACATTGCTACCCGAGGCTGCCTAAGGGAGTGTCTGGGGAAGAATCCACAGACTTGCTAGGGAAGCTGGTCAGGTCCTCCCGAAGGATCATATGCAGATGCTCTTAGAAATGGCATGTTTGCAATGAAGATCCAGATAATCCATTTGCCTCTTATTTTGGTATGACTGCCTCAGCTCCTTTATTTTCACTTCACACTGCTGGACATTCCTGGGGTAGCCTCTCTCCTTCATGCCCTTTGTGATCTTTGCATAGATGTCTGTGTTTCTTTTGCTGGTTTGCAGTTCTGCAAGTAGTGCGAGAGATCCCTCTCCTCATGCAACAATTGAAGTCCAGGATCTCCTGCATGCTCCAAGCTGGTGCTTATCTGCAACGGTGGGAACTCATGGACAGGTGTTCTGCTCAGGTGAGGTCTGCTCACCATGCTGGCCATTCAGGAAATGAAATTCAAACTTTCCCAGGGTTGTTCCTGTTCACCTGGAAAGCAGTAGAGTTGAAAGTCCTGGCCATAGCAGTCATCGTGGGACACTGTGGGACACCTCCCAGAGGCCAAGAATGTTGACTTTCACAGTGCTGCGTCTGTATTAATGCAAAGGCAACCATGCAAGGGCACATTTAAGCGTAACTCCTCATGAAAGCAGGAGTACAGAAATAAGACTTTAACGGCCCTTAAAATCAATCGAACAGGGTTGCTGGTGTGGACTCATTTAGAAAATTGACCTAATGCGGCTAAGTTTGAGCTGAACTCCCAGTGTAGACTAGGCCCATGTTTCTTTCTCTTTGAAATAGCAATAACCACACTTATAACACCTTGGTGAAGTGGATTAAGATCTATGAGTGAAGAACTAACAGCTGCTAATTATTAATAAACTAACCTTTGATCAACGTTGCTATATTTTGCTTTATTCACAGTCTGAATAATAATTTCTATAAACTAAGGTAATGGCATAAAGGATGCAGCAGTCCAGTGATGCACCAGCGTAGTGTAGTTTAACTGGTAATTAGCTGAAAATATTTTAAAGCAGGCAGCATAGTTAATTAAAATCACACAAGAACACATACAAAGTAGTATTTAGAAATTACCTCCTCTGGACACAGCTCATGGGTGCAGCTCATAAAATGAGTGCAAAGCAGTGGAAATGCAATAGAATATCTCGACTGAGAGGGCAGCTCCAAGCACTGCTGAAACATCTTCTCAAAAGCACGACTATAAAAACTGTTGGGAAACAGAAGTTAAAATTTAATATTAATCTAATATAACAGATACATTTTGGCAAACAATATTGTGAACATTGTAACACTGTCTTCAGATTACCTCTATAGGTTACAAAAAACCCTTAAACAAACAACAAATAGTTCTGAAGCACTGAAGTACCTTAAGAGACTAACCCAAAACCCACTTCTTCAGATGACAAGTATGGAGCAAGAGGCACAGAGGTTGAATTATAAAGCAGAAAAAGAGGGGAGAGGAGGAAGGGTAAAAAAAACCAAACCTTGTCGATTAAATGTTTTTCCCCTTCCCCTCTCCCCTCTTCTCCTGCTTTATAATTCAACCTCTGTGCCTCTTGCTCTATATTTGTCATCTGAAGAAGTGGGTTGTGCCTATGAAAGCTCAAGATACTATCTATATATTTTCTGGTCAGTTCTGTTGTTTTTTTTAAGGATTTTTTTTCTTAGTTAGAGACTAACACAGTTACCCCTCTAAGATGTCTAATGATTACAGGTAGATTTCTAAGAAAACACAGTTCTTCTGACAAGTAAGAGTGAGCGTGTACACACATTTAGTCAACAGAAATGTCATTGCAATGCTTAACAGCTATGTATTCAGTTTGTATTTCTCACTATGAAACACTATAATTTGTAAAGCTCCTAACAGCTTTTGTGTGTCAGGGGTGGGGTGGGTGGTCCTAGATGTACAACCCCCCCTATTTGGCCACACTAAAACTTGCTTAGTTCCAATTTACCAAGCAAACTCGATCCCTCTATAAGTGAGCTCTTCATCTACACTCCCTGATATGTATAATCTGAAAACTATCTGTACTGATTTTGTTTTCTCCCAGGTCAGAGCTAAAGTATTAACTAGTGCCAGCGCCAAGAAGTGATTCCTGAGACACCCCTTTAGAAACACCTGTTCAAATGTTGCCATTCATTTTGAGATCAGCTAGCCAGTTTTTAATCCATTTGAAAGCGCTACGTTGATTGTGATCAACCCTACTACATATAACCATCAAAATTGATACAACTTTCCCTATAGTTTGTAGAACTGACTGAAATTATTTTATTTCCACCACAGAGGTTCTTGTTTAGTTTTTATTGTTGCATTAATGTAAGCATATTCCATCAAATAAATGTCCTTGTTAATAAATTGATTCAAAAGTGCATAATATCAGTGTAATATGTTCTTCGGCACATTAAACTTAAAAGGGAATGGTTAAAAAGAGAATAAATAAGCATTAATTTAGCGCAAATGAGGAGCTTTTCCATCTATGAGCATGAAGGCAATCTAATTACTACTAATGAAACTTGGTGGAAAAAAATCTGCAAGACTGGAATATTAATAACGAATTGTTATAAGTTATTTAGGAAGGTCTGTGTGGGCAAAAGGAGAGGGGAATATCATGGTAAAAAATGGCACAACCTGTTTGAGTCACTGATAACTTGGAAGCAAAGGATCTTGAATAACTCTGCACTAACAAATGTAGCACAAGACTAGGTAATAGTTGGTGCCTGCTACAAACTGCAAAACAACAGAATAGGATGCTTAACATACCTATGTGTAATGTATAAGAATAAACGCTGCATCATCGAGGTCTTTAATATGGGTGAAATATGCATCTCAGGCTAAAATGTCCTGGAAATTTCTAAGTTATAGATGACAGTTTTAGACCTCAAAAAGTGTTGCATCCAACATGGGGAATTCCATAGTCGTGTCCATATTGCAAGAGAAAGGTGCTACCTGGCTAGCTCTGGTGATAACAGCATTGTAGACATGGTGGTTTCGGCTTCTAGAAGCCAAAACCTTCACAGACTTGGGTACCTAACTCTTGTTGCTAGTCTGTCTCCAACACATGACATGTTATTATACTGTTACTGTTACCCATGCTAACTAGATTAAAGCATTGACAGCACAACCAAAACAGAGAGCTAACAAGTCTCAAATAATTAAAGGAGGAGGATTTTTTAATTTAGGAGAAGCAAGCATGCACAAGTGCCAATCAACATGAGTTTATGGAAAACAAAATTTGTCAACCTAAATTTAAGAGATTACAAATTTGATTGATAAAATAGGGTTGACATAATATACTTAGACTTCTATTATTTGACTTGATAAAACGTTTAGATTAATAACAGATACACAAAAAATCAACATCACATGTTAAACAGAATAAAACCTGGTTAACAGGGAGAACTCAAAGTGTAACTTTAAATGGCAAATCAACAAGCAGGGCTGTTTCAAGCTCTTGGCCTGGTGCTATCTTCCTGATCATGTTTACAGTATGGGGGGGATGTTACCTTGGGAAACAGTGACTCTGAAAAAGACATGGCCATCATAGAAAAGTCCTGAGGCACCTTATAGACTAACAGATTTATTGGAGCATAAGCTTTCATGGGAAAAAACCCACTTTGTCAGATGCACGAAGTGGATCTTTGCCCACGAAAGCTTATGCTCCAATAAATCGGTTAGTCTATAAGGTGCCACAGGACTTATCTTTGTTTATGTAGATTCAGACTAACATGGCTACCCCTCTGATAATGAGCATCATAGTAGATAATCAGCGCAACAAGAGCTCCCAGTGTAGTCCTAAGGCCAGAAAGACTCATGTGTACTGTGATCCTCAGCTGCATTAACTGGGTAAAAACTGGGTTGAACTAGAGAGGTTATATTACTTCAATAATTGGCACTGGTGTAAGTTCTACAATAATACTATGCCCAGTTCCACTGTCCACAATTTAGAAGAATGTTGAAATACTAGAGAAGATTCAGACATGAGCCATGACAACGATTAAAGGATTGGAAAACCTGTCTGATAGTGATACACTCAGGGTATACTTATACTGCAAGTTAAGGTGCGATGTGGCAAAGGCACCTAGGGCTGGGCTTATCGATTAATCCTATCGACTGCTGGCTCCCTCTGTCCACATGGGTATTTCTAATTAACACTTTGGTAATAAAAGCATTTCTAAATCATATATAAGTTTGAAACACCAGTTCAAGTCCAAGTTTTGGACACCTGATCCAATTTATTCTTTACAAAAAAATGGACAAAAAGCATGCCTGAAAAGATTTCTTGTTTTCCCCTACTCCTGTGCACCACAAACCAGATTTATTCTCCTCCTCCAAGTAGACCTAAAGGGTAAAATTGTGTTCTGAAGTGGACACTGTGAAGGCAGGATTGTAAAGTGTTTACAGTCTTCTATTTGGCTCCCAAGAAGTTCTAACGCTCAATTACTATATGGTGAAATATATTTTACAATCTGCAGCTGATGAAAAGCCTTTTCCAACTTATATAATGCTGTTCTGTACAAAGGATTCTCTTTAAACAGCTTACTCTGAGGTGGGAGAGTGTTTTTATTTTTGCTGACACTGATTAATGAGTTTTATATAGTTTAATGTATTCATTAGCCAGGATCCTTATGATACATGCACTGTATACTGTAAATAAGTAAATAAAAAGCAAAGTTATTGCCTTATCAACTTCCATGTTGAAGGACCAACTCCAGTTCAGCCAGGCAAATGATGGATAACCATGGATTACATACTGTGAACGAATCAGGCGTATCCCTGCTATATATATTTTCAATGAGAGAAACACACACACACACACACACACACACACACACACACACAAAATCACTGCTGGACAAAGTCACTGTAAACACAAAACCAGTAACAATCACCCACTCTCCCATCGCTGTGTCATCCTAGATGATATGCTGCTTAAAAACTGCAAATGTAAGGGGCATAAAATAAACAACATTATAAAGCAAACTTCTAGACTCGGATTAATTACATACCAAAATATAGAAAGATCAGATGTTTCCACCAACATCTCCACCAAGGAATCTACCATTTTTGTGTGGAAAATAATTGTGTTCATCATCTTTCCAAGCTCTCTGTGGTCTGCAAGGCTAAGTGAAGCTTTAGACACACTGGTGTAAGCCTGTAAGAACATAACAGAATAAGGACAGTAGTTTAATATTAAAGACTCTTATATCTAAAATAAACTCCAGCTCAATGTCATTTAAAATGTACAACTATATATATGACCCAGGCTTTTTAAAAATATCGAAGATTAGAGTAAATCCCTGTCTCCATCTCCACCCGATTTTTTTTAATATTTAGAACCCACAACCCTTTACAAGAAAATGTTCATATTAAGGTCTTGCCATTATTTCCTGTTGAAGGCACAGTATGACAGCAACACTGGGGCAAAGTTTCTGGACTAAAGGAATAGTGACAAAGCAGAGCATAGAGTGCTCCTGTAAAACCACTGCTGAGATACTTTTTGCAATGAGATGATATCCTTCCCCTTCCTTCCCTCTTCCCTTAGCAAGTCAGATGATTTCAGGATGTTTTGGGGGGAGGTGAATGTAGATTGTGAGATAGTATCAAGCTGTACAACAAACAGAGAGCATGGGCTAAAAAGTACAGAAGCGGTGTGTGTATGGAAACAGCTAGTGAAATGAGGTAGGCGTGTAGTCTAGACACACCCTAAGAGTACAACCACCTTTTGTCTTACTCTGCACGGGAGCTGTAAAAAAGGCTGCAAAGCATTGGTAAGAGGGACTGTATTAAGAGATGAGTAGTGGGACGGGTGTACAAGTGAATGGGAGAGGTGACAACATCCAGCATCAAGACATTACACCTAGCCTGATGGAATAGGGCAAAACGGCTACCAAAGACCGCTATATTTGGCAAACCATTCTGATAGTTTGCCATTCGGAGTTGCAGTGAGGCCGGTAACTAACTTTTACACTCAAACAGGTCTAAACTTTTTGGATTTCTTGTCCACAGGGCAGGCTTTTTGCCAAATTTTGACTTCTCATAATGCTGCTGCAAGTACCAAACTGCCCAGGTTTGGGTTGGAGTAAGACTACTTAGTTTTCAGAGGCCCCAGATAACTTCAACACCTGTTCAAACATGGGTTAAATAGTGGCTGATGTTTGCCAGAGGCATGTGACTGGCTCCAGTATTCTCTCATTAATGGGGAGAGTGAACCATCCTATGGACTGGGAGGAGGGTATGGTCAGCATATTTATAGGAGCTTATAGGATTTCTCCTGTACGACTATTTCAATGTTTAGAGTCCCTGTGATGCAGAATAAGAGATCATGAAAAGCACTAAAATAGTCAACCAACTAAGCAAGGGTTGGTTTAACTGTTTCAACGAGTGATAAGAATGATTCCTTTGGTAGAGACAGGAAGTGCTGCTGTTATTCTGCTACACTCAGCTCCCAACGGCGCCAATGTATGGATCTGGTGTCAGCAGTTTAGGTTGCAATACAACCGCTGACCCTGATCTCCTCCTCTTCCAGAATCTACAGGAGAGAGATCTGCTATAGGACACTTGGGAAGATGGTCACCAAGATAGCTAATGTGGCTTATTCAATTAATACTGGCCCAGTTGTGGATGGATGGCCCATCGCCATTTGAACAATCGTTGGGTAGGTATCTTTGCAAGAGGAATCTCCAATACCAGCTCTAGGGTCACTTTTGTAGGGTAAAAGAAGGGTATCATGAGGAGAAGACATGGTCCAGTGATGACGACAAAGAGCAGCACTCTTATAGTGTTGCCATGTGGTTACATTCTAGGCCTGTTTCTGGTGCTGTGCATCAGCCCTGTGGCATAAAATTCCCTAGACGGATTCAGAAGCATCCATGAGAGATTATGTGGGTCTGTAATCAACATGGTGGTCTTTGCCAGGGCCATTCAGATTGCCCAGCATCGTTCCCCTCTTGGCACAGTACTTAGCACACCTCCAGAGATGAGTCCATCTCTCTTTTTAGGAGGTGTTGCCCACGCTGTTTGCTGCCATGTTTGCGTGTACTGGTTTCACCTTTATCTTGGAGTGCCAGTGCTCCAATTAAACTGTTGGTGCCGTGATCATCAGTATTGACGCTCATGTCATATTAGTTGGCCTTGATGCTGGTAAGGATAATGGCTCTGGTGTAATGACAGGGGCTGATGGGTAAGATGCAGAGATGGCCTACATCAGTGTGTCCAGTGTTTACTTGGATTAAGCTTTGGCTGCGTTTTCCTGTTGCTGATGAACCCTGCAGTGTGGAGTCTATTTGAAGTAGTACTGTCTGAAAGAGGACTCTGGTCTCTGTATATAGGAGTCTCTTCTGGATCAAAGGTGACACGCATCCATTGTTTTATGTAGGTATACATTTCAGCCATGTACCCCACAATTTGCAAATCCTGGCAGAGAAGGAAGTGCGCAATGCACATTAATTAGGGATGTGACTCCCCAAACAGAATTAGGGCACACAGATATAAATCAAAGGAATTTAAATCACTGATTTTAATAATTATATTAAAATAACCTATTTTAATTATGTTTATTTTCTGTGCAAGTTACTGACCTGAAGAAAGGTTGATTCTTATTAGATGGTAACCATTACAACATGTTGGCATGTACCTAAATATAGCCTTTATACAACATTTGTTTACTCTTTTTGCTAACCAGGAAGATACTTATATAAAAGTGCACATAGTGTAAATATAGTTTAATTTACATTTATTCAGATTATTAATTCTTTGTTAATCTTTTTAGAAAATGCTAAATGATGTTTTTATTTACTAAATTAATATTTTATTTGTGATGTGTGTCAAACTATTTGAATAGAAATTCAAATATAATTATCAAAAACTGTTTTACATTTAAAAGTGATATATGAAAGCATAATGTGTAATTAATGAATTCAACTGTTTATTTCTGGTCAGGTATTTCAAGATTTCACAACTAGTAAATTTCACCATGTCAACTAGTTTTTATTCTAATGGAAGAAAAACAAGCTTTCTTGCTTATTTAACTAATTCCCAATATGTTAACTATGAACAATCAAATCAAAGAACCAAACTAGCTGAGTAAACTGATCAAAGAAAATATTCACCTGCAAAAGAGGAAACAAAAAGTTGATTTCTTTCTTCAACAGGCTTTGGTTCCAGGAGTTCAGTGGGGCCAACATCCCAACTTAGATATTTTAAAGGGAAATTCAAGGATGCACATTTTTCCTAAAGCCATAACATATCTGGGTGACTATACCCAACAGAATCTCTTTAATCACTCTTTTCTGCTTTCCATTTTAAGTCCATAAATGTAGCCTTAAATTGTATTGTTTTGCTATTGTTATAAAATTACTATAGCTAAGATGAAAGAAACACTAACTTCCTTTATTTTTAAATATGCTTAGTTTTTATGAAGCATCATAAGCCATGCTTATGTGTATTTTCACACAGCAATAGAAGACACATAGTAAAATGTACAAAAATTATTAAATAAAAATGTAAAAGGAAATTCAGGAGCAGGTGTAGTAAACTAACTTATTTTAATTACAGGCAGTCCCCGGGTTACATACAAGATAGGGACTGTAGGATTGTTCTTAAGTTGAATTTGTATGTAAGTCGGAACTGGTACATATTATAGGGGATACTCTAGCCAAACATTTCTCCAGAGCTCAGTTTTATTCTCCCACACCTCACTTCCCTCAGTCCTTTATTCTCAAGCTGAGGTGTCTGCTGAGAAAAGCTGCTCCGCGTCTCCCTGGTCTGCTGGGCACTTCCCTCAGTCCTTTATTCTCAAGCTGAGGTGTCTGCTGAGAAAAGCTGCTCCGCGTCTCCTTGGTTTGCTGCGGGGGGGTGCTAGCTTCGCGTCTCCCTGGTCTGCTGGGGGGAAGCAGCTAGTGTGGGGTTGCCTCACCCCGTTTGTAAGTAGGGATCCGATGTAAGTCAGATCCATGTAACCCGGGGACTGCCTGTACTGGCTTTCATTTTACCTTTCATAGGGAAAAAATATAATTCTCTTTTTTCATATTAGCAAAAGGTGTGTTATACAGCAGGATTTATAGCATGACTCTTTGGAATTCATACATTTACAGAAAAGGGCACAATGCAATAGCTATTTGTCAATCAATGGCTGTCAAGTTATTACAAAACAAGAAATAGTTTTGCATCTGTATCATACTATCTACGTTTTTGTTAGTCTTTAAGATGCTGAAGAACTATTTAACTCTTTTCAGTTAAAGACTAATATGGCTAATTCTCTAAAGTTATTACAACTTATATTAGCGCCCATTAATTTTTAAAAATAAATGGGACCTTTCCATTTAAATGTACTACAGGGTAAAAGATACTTCATTTGACAACCTAACATCTCAGATTTGGATTTTTTACTGATTGGATAGAGAAGGGTTTTTATAAAAAGTTTATTTTTATTAAGGCTACTAATTAAGAGACATTAGTTCTTTTTAAAGTAAATAGTGTGCTGCAGCCAAATGCAATTACCTTTAAGAATGTGTTATTCTACTACTGTTACCGATGTTACTTGCGGAGGGAGTAAGTAATTTAAGAATTTCAATCATATTACATCTGCAACCAAAAAATATCCTAAGTCCAAACCCAAAAATGTCTTTGAGCTTGTGTTTTTATTTATGATAAAGAAGAACAGTTCCATGAAAAGGGAGACTGTTTTTCCAATCTTGTCTTTACAGCCTCTTTGCAAAGCTGAGGAAAACCAGGTTCTTTATGCTATCTTTAAAATACTCTCTCAGAAAGCTGACTGGCCAGCCACTTGACAATCTACAATTTTGCTCAAAAAATGCTTTCGAGAGCAGTGTTAGCAATAAAATCCTTAACAAGGGGGATTAGGAATATTCTTCTCAATATTTGAAAGTCTACATTGATTTTGTTAAAAACCCATGTCTATGCCAAATTCCATTAAAACTATCTAATAGTCTAACATTTCTACAATACCCAGTATTTTTTTGCTTTGTTGTTTAAATAGTTCTGTGGAGTTACAATGTGAGGCTTAAACAGATGCAGTATTTCAGGGTAAGGAAAACTCTGCCTGTGCAAAGCTTGCATTTCAGTTTACATTTGTAAAAGTGCTTTGTAGGCTACTACAACTAAGGGTGTGATAAAACAGTTAAAAGTAGCGCTGTATATTGGCGAGGGACTATGTTATATATCAGTCACTCAACAGATTTATTTCCTCTTGTGTATTCAGAAATGCTTTTACTTACCCCAAAAACAAATGTGAGTTTTAATTATTTTAGAGAGCTATACTGTATTTTGGTTCATGCACCAAATATGTTAACTAAGTTCTAATGGTAGGGTTAACTTCTGACATTTCTTGCATTTAGGCAGATTCATTTAAGAGAAAAGCTGTACAAGTGTAAACCAAGATCAGAACTTCAAGCTAAGTATCTGTATTACTGACAAGAATGCAAGAGACTGAAAGAATGCAACTCTCAGATCAAGGGTTGAGTTTCCCATGCTGACATTTATAGGAAAAATAGTTTGGGCGTTTCTAAACTAAGGAACCATGGAAACAAACAGAGAACATGACGACATATTTATAGTCACTTGTCAGGCAAAACCACATGTTAAGCTTCCCTTACATTTTACTAATGTGAATGCCACTAAGACAATAGTATAAATGGCATATCTAGTATCTGCTGACCTATCTGATGGACTATAATATAGTTGTTTACACTGGCACTTTGTCAATACAACCGGCCAAACTACACTGTGACTGAAGTATTTAGAGGCTTGAACTTTTATTTTTTAATTTTTAATTAAAACCCCTCAATTTTCTCTCTGATCTATAATAAATTCAAAGCTAGAGTAGACATTTCCTGACTGGAAGTGGCTTACTCCATTTGCAAAGCACTCTGTAATTTACAGAGTTATAGGACAAAATAATGATAAAATAACATTTGTCTATCCAATCTTGAAAAAATTGATTTTACAAACTATACCATTGTATAAAGTCAATTAAGGTGATCATATCTAAACATGAGTCCAATGTACAGTAACAGTTTTATCAGATAGCAATATGTTGCACTGCAGTGTAAAAATAGCCTATAAATCTGTTTGGTTGAATCAGATACCAGTTTACTTCATGGTGAGTTAGGGTTTCAGTGTATGGTATTGGGTTCTTATACTTGAGTTTGAAACCATGTTAACTCTATTAGGTTTTTACAGGGGCATACACAGAAAATATAAAAAGAATGAAAACAAAATACAACACGGGAGATCTACTTAAATTTTATTTTGGTAGCACTCTATCTTGGTGTCCTCCTTGCAGTCAAATAGGCAATATTAGATCATTTGAAGCCACAAATGCTCCTTGCACCATACATACAAAGTTACTTATATTTAAAACTTACCTGCAATCTAAACCAATCTAATCTCATTCCTCTGAAGTCAAATACCTCCCCATCTTCAACTGCATGAGAGAAAGAATATAAAGTATAAAATAAAATCTTTAAAAATTAAATATGAACACAAAAAGTGCACTTATTTTTGAAGGACAATTTAAATATCAATGCTCTTAATGATCACTTTCTTTAGAGATTAAGTTCAGATTTGTTCTCATAATTTTTTTAAAATTATTCCAATCCAGCATATATAATCATGGGAAGAAAACTGCCTTTGAGTGAATAAAGCATTCTTCTTTAGGAGTTAATAACACTCACTCTAAATGAAAAAGTGGAAATACAACAAGAATAAACACAAAAGTTCTCTCAAGCTGCAGCTACAAAAGCTTGTGTGTTTATCCTAAGCCAGATAAATAGATGATAAGACCAACGTAACTGCTTTGCAGCCCTCTTCCTTATAGCCTAAGAGGTCAGGTTGCCTCTCCGGAAATGGACTCTGGTCCCATCAATGGAAGAAAAGCCGTAATACAATATACTGTAACCCTAGATTATGTGCACTGACAATGGTAACTGAAGATTGCACTGAATGAATCCTTTAGGTAAACAACATGCCTACCAGAAGTATTATTCACTGTACTTGAATCTGACATGCCACAACAAAACATTACCCTAACATGCCCACTAAATAATAAAGATGACATACATACTGCCCACTGTGCATTTTACACAGAGAGGACAATAAACTTTAATGATTCCAGAGCGCTATTATCCCACCATTTTTTCCTCTTCTTGCATTTAATCACTTTGATGTGTTGCAGCATTCCAAATTCTGTTCATTGAAATCAGTGGAATACCATGATATAACGAATACGCAACAGCAATAAAAGGCATTTTGCGTGATATAAAGGTTTCACTTCTAGGGATGTTAAATACCGCACAAGGGCTGCTCTTGCCCAGCTAGAGTGCCCTCTGCCACCTGGTTATCCTGGTTAAGGCATGTGCTCACTTAGGGTGTGTCTAGACTACAGAGTTTTGTCGACAAAAGTGGACTTTGGTCAACAAAACTATACCTGCGTCTACACTACCCCTGAGTTCTGTCAACATAACGTCGACAGAACTCAGCAGTTTTGTCGACGCTGGTAAACCTCATTTTATGAGGCATAACGCGTTCTGTCGACAGAGTTCTATCGACAGAAGGTGTTATTGCATCTAGGGTTGTGTCTAGACTACAGGGTTTTGTCGACAAAGCAGCTTGCTTTGTCGACAGAACTGAATGTAGTCTAGACGCTCTTTGTCGACAGAAGCTTTGTCGACAGTATCTGTCGATAAAACTTCTGT